GAACAATCCAAGCCCCATTTCCTTCAGCAGCAATGATAAATTTAAAGACAAGACCAGAAATGCAAGTGAAAGGGGGTTGCTAGTTTCCTCCGAGTGCAATGATATTTGCTTGTTTTCCTTGAGTGCTCAAAAGATTAGAATTAAAACTGCATTATTATGGTAGGAAAATTATCTCTAGAATGACTGTAAAAGTTTTATTTTACCCTTTTAATTTTTCTCTCTAATTTTTGTAATGGGAATCACTTCTACGCTGCCCAGCGTGCAAAGTATTGTACTGGCAAGAGTCCTAGTGGAAAAATAATTGAAATAACGTGGCTGTTGGAGCAGATTTCCTAGTCCTGTTTCAAGGAGGCTTTTGCAGGTAGCCGTCCAGGGTCATGTTCCCAGCACGCTGCTTGCCAGGCAGCTGCCCCGGGGCACTGGGGTTGCTGCTTGGCTCCTTAGATGTGTGCAGAGCTCATTGGAGTCTTGTGATTGTGTCGTTTATAGGTTTTGAACTAATTTTTCATGTCATCAGTAGGATGGTCTATCTCTTCTTTCATGTCTAGAGCATCTAAATGAGCATAGCGATGATGCTTCCTTTTGCTGAAACCATGGCCCCTCTAGTTATGCCAAACCCTGGAAGAAGCCAGCGTTGATGGTTTGTGTCCTTAGCAAGATGTACTCGAAGCGGGGTCTCACATTCTGTATTTTTCTCCAGGATAAGTCGCTGTTTTTGCTTTATATAAGTAAATCATAACACTAAAGGCTCATAACTGAGATAATGAATGTGTGCTGCTGCGATGCCCCTAATGCCAGGTGATTTACTGTGGCTTTTCTGCCTCTCCACTTTCATAATAAGCAAGCAGTGAAAAAGGACTGAGAAACTCATAGAGAAGATTATTACGAAGTTCTTGCTTTATGTTTCCTTTCTTTTTTCATTGCAGCAGTAACAATGCGTGTAGACGTTTGCTAACTGAACAGAAGCCAGGTGCAATATTCATGCATCTGAACTCTTATTACATCAAGCCATGAGTTATTCAAGAAATGTATATTAAATATGTGCTAGTAAGGGGAGGTTTAAAGGCCCTGTGCTGTAGCATCATCTTATCAGCAAAAATGAAGCTGGTGGCAAGTCAAGTGTATTGGGAAGTGTCTGGTAGGTCTTATATATGTGTATAAGAGCATGTGTGAATAGATGTACATATACATGCACCCAAGGACATTCACTTATATGTAAATATATCTGCACAGATCAGCAATATGTATTTTTTTAGCAATAAATAGCGCTTAGTACAGGTGAGACATTTTAGACCATAGAAGATTACTTTCTGTGGTAAAGGAGAAGTGTTGGAAGACTGCTGATGTCAGGATGCCAGTGGAATAACTCCTTAGCTGTTAATTTCCTGGTTTACATCATGGGAGGAACTAGGTTTAGAGACCTAATATTTTTCCTAATGTTAAAGAGGCTTTGCGTTTTCCTCTGCCCCCTCCCACTTGTTGCTATGAAGTCGCAACTGTGTTTTGAAAGAAACCTGCAGATAATGATTGTAAGGTGCGGCATGGCCTTTGAAGGACTTGCAGTAGAAACTTCCAGTGTTAAATGTGGGTTCCCAAAGTCTTTTCTCTTACTGGCTGTACCAAGGCTGTGTCGCTTTTTGGCTGGAATTCCACGTGTCTCCGGGGCCAGCCAGCGACCATACACAACGGGGCTTCCTCTTTCCATCATGCTGACTTTAATATAATATAGCAAGTCAGTGTCTAGCCATGTTGAGCAAAATTAATTAGTGTCGAAAAGTGGCTTGTTTTGCAAGGTGATCAGTTTTTAACCTCTGCAAATGACTTTCTTTGCGACTAATAAATTAAATAAATTATATCTTTTTCATGCAGTACAGTGGGGCTCATAAATACTGCAAGCAGTTAGTAGGTAGTTTCACTTGATTACCTTTCCCATTTCTGTTTTTAATAATCCTTGTTGGAGTGGGGAATTCAGTCACTTTTAATAACGTGACAAAAAAATAGCAAAGGCCATTGTTTGATGGCGCTGAGCTGCCCACCGGCCTCTCTCCCCGTCTCAGAGCAGTCCCAGGTCCCCAGGCCATCAGGGAGGTCCTCTCTTGTCTTGCCCGATGACGTTACTATGGCCATCGCCGTCACCACTTTCCACGTTGTGCACGGGGTGTCCTTTCTGCCCGCCTTGCCCGTGCTCGGTTGTGCTTAAGCAGGAGTTGTTTGTCTGAGAGCGTGGATAAACCCGACTACGAACAAAACCCGCGGGTGTAGAAGCAGACAGGCTTTATGTGACTTCTCCATAGTAACCGGGCTGGACGTGGAAAAGCCAGAGTGTTTTGTCTTTTCTGTAAGCCCTCAGTTCTCCAAATCTTTGATGCATCATTAAAAGACACAAGATTTCCATAACAATAGGAATGGTTCTTGTTAAGTAATGTTTTGGCAGTAATGTTAAGTTTCTATTAAAAATCAAAATGGAAAAAAAATGCTCAAGGATCCAAGGAGAGTTTCTGCTCCTGCCAGCACCTTGCAGCGCTAGGTGGGCGGCGAGGAGCTGCCGTCGGCTTGGGTTTGACCTGGTGCGCTAAAGCAGAGCGGCCCGTGCGGGACGAGGAGGGGAGAAACGCCTTGAGGAGGGAGCCCGGGGCAGCCGGCACGAGCTCCGCACGGCCGCAGTGACGGGTTCCTCGCTCGGGCCAGACGGGGGAGAGAAATGCGATTGCGCGGAGTCTCTGCTGTGTGGTACAGCCAGACAGAGCAGGACGTGCAACGGGGCCGGGTCCTGCAATGGGCTATGCAGGGTCCTGCACCACTACCCACGTCACTGCGTGTGATCGATCGGTAGCGTTCGAGACCACGCAGGAAGGGATTTGCTTTAGTTTCACCGGCACTGTGTTCATATAGACGATAATACCTCCCAAAGCTTGATGCTAAGCACCTTCAGCCTCAGGAGCTGGTGTCTGGAGCGTCTCAGAGCGCGTCACATTGCGTTGAGGAAGCCAAGCCCCTGCGAGGGCGTAGGTCCTGCTCTCGGGGAGGATGGCGCTTAACAGGGCGTCCTCAAACCCCAGCCTGGCGCGCTGGGCTGATCGACGGCGTGCTGTAATTGCAGATGACCTTGGCAACGAGGTCTGGCAGAGGCTGCAGCATCTGCATTCTTGAGGACATTGTGCAGAAACCCTGGAACAAGGAGAAAAGTAAATAAGGAATATTCAGATACTCCTTCCAGGGACTGTACCTCTGATGCTGCTCAGAGATACTTTGACCTTCTAGTTTATTATGAGTCAGGAAGAAGTCAATATTTCTCAGGCTGGCAAGGTTGGAGGAATTTTAATGAGTTACTGAGTCAAATAGTTAATCCTTCGATAACAGATTTTTTGTTTCCTTTCAGATTTACCGTGATTAAAAACAAAGGCTTAGCTGGGGCCAAGAAAAACGGGAGTTTGTTTCCTATAGAAATTTTTGCTTGTTTTTTGTGCTTTAACCCCTTGGTCACCAGGAGACGAATGCAGCTTGAGCACTTCCAGTGGGCATGAGACATCGGGCAAGCAGAGGTTATGTCTATGTTAGCCAGGAATTTAGCGTAATAAAAAGTGGTCAGTAGATTGAAGTAGCTAGTGCTGATGCTCCTTGCTTCTCTATTCTATGCAATTAACAGAGGGTGGTTCTTTGGATTAGATTTGGTCTGGTCTCCTTGGCCCAACAGCTCTGCTACTTGGAAAATGCCTTGGGTGCACCTGGAGGACACAGTGGTATCGCGGCCACCATACAGCTTGTCCCATCAGGAGCTGGAGGGTGTCTGGAGCCACGCTCCCACTGTGCTTTCCTCCAAAGGGATCCAGCTAGCACACGTCAAAACTGTGCCGAGAGCCGAGGCTACGTGTGGGAAACCGGCAACTGGGACTTGCTTCGACCCTGTGCAGCTGGTCCAAAGTGACTCACGAGCGTAGCCCAGCCCTGGACTGCTGCTACTGGGGGGCTGCGTGCAGCTGGCAGCAGGCTGTGGACTGCTAAATGTTTATTCATGCTGTAATTACGCCTTTTGCAGCATCCCTTTGTAATTCTTGACTTTGTGTACTCCAATTAACATAGAACAATCTAATTTCCTGAAACTCTCTTCGTTGAGTATAAAGCTAATTATTGCTCTGAGTCGTGGCTTGTTTGGAAATATCTTGTCCTGTATAAATTATAATAATGTTGTGTTGTAAGCCTTTAAGTAAGGAAATTTCAGAAGCAGAAAATATTACAGCATCAAGGCAGCATCCTTCGCCTCTTAATAATACCACAAAATAGATAGTACAGTAATGTGCAGAACAGGATACCCAATGAATTTTTAAAAGAAGTACAAAGTTATTTTTCGTTGTGTGTCGCTACTCAGAGTATAGAGGTAGATTTTGATGGGCGTTTTTACAGTGAGAAGCATCCTGCCATCATATTGCATTGACTTCAGTGCTATTCCTCCTTGGGCTTCCCCCCTCTCCCCCTTCTTCAAAAACTCTCAGCAATTGCCTATATTAACCTACATTGAAATCTGTGTGACTCTTAGCCAAGGGGATATTCTGCTTCTGGCTACTAGTGAGGGAGTGCAGGTACGCGGGGAAGGTCGCAGTCTGCAATGAAGCTCCTTGAGGGCTTGTGGCTAGAGCAGAGCAGGATTTCTGAACTGCTTTTTTGAACGTATGTCCAAACTTTGGACACTGAAATACTCCCTCTGAATTTTATCCTAGGGCCTAGTTTTGCAAAGGACTAAAAGAGCACAAGGTCCCATGTCCATCGCTTTTCAGTCAAAACCTTGAAGCACATGCCTCAGTAGTTTGATGAGTCAGAGCTGGAAGCCCGTGAGACCAGATGTGAAGATCCTCTCCTACCTGTGCTGTCCTGCTCTCCAACAGGGTGCACTTTTAGCCTCCAAATCCTGCTATCTCGGAGCTTGTGATCAGCACGCTGCTAAAGCAAACGCCTGTGCTGTGTTAGGGAAATGTGCTAACGCTGGTGTTTTCTGTTCTTTGCAGTGCTTTATGGGCAGGATGGCCTGCACGCATCGTGTGAGAAGAAATACTGTGGCCGAGGGAGCAAGTGTGTGGTTAACAAGGAGACCGGCCAGCCGGAGTGCAGGTGTGTAGAAGACTGCAAGCCCAGCTACGTGCCAGTATGTGGATCTGATGGCAAATTTTATGAAAATCACTGTCAACTGCATCGAGCCTCATGTCTGCAGAGGAAGAAGATCTACATTATCCACAGCAAGGACTGTTTCTTCAAAGGTAGGGCATCATTAAAAATAAATACTTCTACAGAACTTCCATCATTCATCTTTCCTTAATCCTGATAAATGGCTGAATGGTATGTTTTATTTCTAAGAGATAAATTTTTAAAGGATGATTTATTCTAGGACTCCGTAGAACATAATGCAATGCTTTATGCAGCTATTAAAAATCTAAGTACCGTCACCCAAAATATAATCAAACTGAGTACTGGTAAATAATTAACATCATTGTATGCGTTGTGTGCGCTTTGGTTGTGCTCTTCGGTACTTACAATTTCTAGTGTAATAACGTTTTACGATCTAATTCGTTTGGTAAGGCTTTGAACAAGACTAAGACGTTAAAAAAAAATAGTACACGGTATTACAAGAAGTTTGTTGCACAAACGAGAAAGAAAATTGTAATTCCCTCCTGAAAGTGAATGCGGAAACTGAGCGTGTATCAGCTGAGAAGTACACTTCAGTGAGCACTCTGCAGGCTTTTGACGAGGGACTTTACGATAGATGTGATGTGGTATGATAGGGTGGGACGTGTTGCAAATGTTTTGGGAACCATCAGCACCACGTGTCGGCATTTTTCAAAGGGCACCACACCCGATAATTGTGTTTCAACCCACTTAGACGAATTACACAGCAAAAGGGAAAAAACTATTGAGACAAAACAAGAGGAGTGGAAGTGTACCAAGAGAAAGTCAGAACGATGACAGGCAAATGTTTGCTAAGGTAACGCATCTTCAATGCCTTTATCAAGTAGCAAATTGGTTCATTGCATAAATGTCTCTGCACAAAAGTGAAACATGAGGTAGGGTTTATGGAAGTTCAGTACCTCCCCCCAAAAGAGCAATGCTCTGAATTACAGTTTACATGCTGCTGTTTCAAAATATTTTTTCTTCCAGGAAAAACGGTGCAAAATAAGTTGTATAATCCTTGGATCAAGTTCATAGCTAAATAAGTGCATAGGCAGTGTATGCAAAACAAACAAACAAAAAAAAAACCCCTAGACATTCCTTTACTAGGCCAAATTCCTTGGCTTAGTACTGAAATTTAGCTCACAGCCCTATAGGCTCCCCTAGCCTACAAGGACCTGTTTGGTGTTTCTGTCTGACGTGTGAAACCTGACTCTGTGTTTAGTGGCTCCGTCATGCCCGTTTCAGGACACAGTAACGTTGGCAAGAGTGTGCTCGGTGACCGAATGCGGGGAGGTGACTGTGGGGCTCCTTGGAGCAGGGGTAGTTTCTTACTCCGTTATCACAGCTCTTGCAAAATGAGCCTTGACTCTGGTAGGCATTTAGGCACTATGGTGATTTGGTCGTGACTGTTTTAAAGACGATTCAGGATACCAGTAGGGTGCATACATGCTTAACTATTTTACTGGTGTAGTAGAAAATTCCATTATTGTCATTGGGCCAAATGACCAGAGGGATGGAGTCCTATGTCTCTTCCATTAGCAGTTTTAATGTCATGTACCATCCTGTCACAAATCAAGTGAGATTGCAGTAGCAGAAGCTGTGTGATATAATGCCAGAGAGTGGGAGAAGTCCCAAATTATTTTAGCTCTAATGAGAGGTCTTATAAAGGCCTCGCTAGAGTATCTTGAAAACTCATTGTCAAATATGACTCCTTATACCTACAGAAAGATTTGAGTGGGTTGTTGTGAACATCTCCAGTGACATTTACGTGATCAAATATGAAAATAATTCCATTATCTTCAGCTCACTGGGCACTTGAGCCCCTAAGGAGTTTGACTGTACACAGAGCTATCCATCCCATGCTCTCATTTACTAACAGATAGATGCAAGTACACAATGTTAGAAGAGCCTATTTAAGAAATAAGGGCCTATTTGAAGAGACACGCGAGTGTCTTACTAAGATAGGATACCCTTTGGAGATAGGAGAACATTACTGTGCTTGTCCTGCCAACGAGGCCCTGAGACACAGACAGACTAGCTGAAAGTTTGCAGACCGGTCTAGACACAGCTGTGCTTAGTACTGCCAAGTCTAATAGGTTTGGGGATCTGGCTTTTGATGGGATGGAGGAATCAGTTGTAGGAGTGACTCGGAGAGCATGAACTGAGCTGCTACGTGCACTTTGTAAGCCGTTGCTTCATGAGACAAGGCTTTCTGTAACAATGCCAGAAGAGTCCACGTTATTTTCGACAGCTGCTTCAGTGCCCGGAGAAGCCAATGGCAGCGTGTGTGTGGTGTGTGGCCATGCTCCGAGGCAGGTGGATGTCTAGTCTGCTCAGAGGTCCCACCCCCATTTCACACCTTGACCACATGAACGGTGTGTTCCTGCATGTAGGCAGCAGCATGCCGTTAGAGCGGTGTTACTACCAAACACTGCGCGCTCGGTTGCAGTGCTTGTGAGTGATCTTGCATCAATGTAAGTTGAACCCAAGCCTATTCATGTTACTTATTCTCCAAAAGCCCAGCCTACTGCCCTTCACAGGGGAGAAATGGCTGCCGTTTATACCTCAGTCAGTCCATTGCAATTGGGAAGTAATTGGGTCTGCGATCAATAGACCTTGTATGAAGTTGGAAAACAGAACAGTGTTCTTGAAGGGTCACCTTAAAGGCACGTTTGCAGGATCAGGTCAAGGTGAAAAGTTTATTTTGCTTGTTGCTTTAAAAAGGAACATCTTCGTAAAGATCTTATTGTCCCAGAGATGCATCTTTTACAATACCAGCTATGTGGATAGCTCATTTTACCCTTATAAGAGTAATTGCACCCTTATAAGAGTAATTACACTTTCCCACTAATGAAGCTGTTTATCCTTATTCAATTAAACGCCCTGTCAGAATGCATTGAGCCATGACGTGCTCCCTCAGTAGTGTGCTGTGAGGACCCCAACTAATTCACAAATGACAATGCCAGCCTTGAGCTGTGCAGCGCCGCCGCACGGGTGGCACTCCTCTTGCCTCCCACACCACCGCTGCTTGCCCTTGCGAGGCTTGCAGGTGAGGCTTGGCCATCAGCTTACGCCAAGCTAAGTTGCTGCCTCATCCTACGTACCCGCTCCTCCTGCCGAGCGCTGGCGCTAGCACCGCTGCATCTCTGTGTGAAGCCAGATCAGGGCACGGACCTGGCTGAAAACGGGCTTCAGCCCTGAATAACCGTGGATGGAGCTGCAGCTTCCAGAGAAGAGCTGCAGGAGGTGAAATCTGATCTTCATTTCACCCCTACAGATCCTGCTGGGACTCAGTCACTCAGTGCTGTAGGTTTTCCCTGACTCCCAGAAACGTCTTTTTGGCCGTTTCTTTCATTCTTGTGTATAGCCTACCCTTTTACAGTGATGTTTCTGGCCCAGCTTTTTATTCATTCCTTATCACATACACTGTTAAAGAAAATGAGTTCTCATTGCAGTAATCAGTGCCCCTGCAATGGCTGTATTATACCTAATGATACAATGTCACGCCTGAATACTTCCCTGAACATACCATGAAATGATGTCAGAAAGTAGTAGTTTTGTGTCCCGGTTTAGAGTAACCCTTAAATTCTTGTGATGGAGCACTGCTTAACGCTGCTTTTCAGCAGAATGAGAGCTTTATGGAAGGGAGGAGAGAAACAAGGTCTCTTCCCTTCTTGGATGAGTAAACAAAAGAGTACTTCTATTGCTGTCTGCAGAGAGAAAATGTAGAAAAACAAGTTTACAGATACTCTCACTGGTTGAGTAGGACTCCGTAGGAATATTTGGCTTCAGCCCTTGTTTCTGCCATACAGTTCATGAGTAACCTCGTTTGCGTCCTTTCATTTCTTTTTACCTCAGTCTCCTCTTTGTAAATCAAGAATGTTAATGTTTTCTTTTTAAATAGAAAGTAATAATAACCTGTTAAGCTACAGATTTATACCAGCATTATAAATACAACATTATAAAGTGTAAGGCGGTATAAAGTGTCTCTGACTGGAGAAAAATCTTGAAGGTGCAAAATGTTTTTTCCGCTGGATGTAAGATTTCTGTCTGTCAGTAGGCATATCTTTTCCATTTGTTTTCTATCAAGTAGATAGTTTAATTATTTGAGTACAATTAGGCCGATGAGTGGGTTTCTTCAAGGGTTTTTGTCCCGGGTGACTTCAATTAAGGTTTGAGTCCCTGCGTAGAAGTACCTGAACGACGCTGCAGACAGCATCTGCATGTTCTGCCAGTTTAACCAGTTAAACGGGGCTGGCCTTGCGCTGGGTGACCTTAAGGTACAGATAGGTCAAATATAGATATAGAATATAGATGAAATATTCAGATTCCATTTCAGTGGCTGAGCTAGGTCTATCTGTAGGAAATTGATAAAGCCAACAGCAAAGATCTGTTTCTTTGGTGTTTTGGTGTTTTTGGGAGTAGGAAAGGATTGTTTAGGGTGTGTTGTTTTGTTTTGTTTTTAACATATCATCTATGAAGTGCTTTGCAAATATTGATTTACAGCAAATGCTCATGTGTCACTACAAACATTGTTTGATTTTTCTGCTACCTCGCTGGCGTTGTATTCCATACTGGCGTTAATATGAGGAGGAGTCGGAAGAGAATCTGGCTCTGGGCAAATGACAGATTCCTCCATCTAGCCTAGAATGAATCCTGGAACCCTGAAAATCTGACACATGAAAAAGGCTGCGTGCCGTTTCTCAAACGTGAAGGTTTTGCCCTCCTGGTGTAGTAAATAATCAATTGGAACTTGACATTTGCATCACTGTGACTGACGTTCTGCTCATTGCATCTCTTATTTTCCCCAAACGTTCTCTCCTAAATCTGCTTTTCTGACATGAACGCAGTGGAAGACATTCCAGTTCCTCTGTAGCGTTGTTTGAAATTAGCAGATGTCTCTCAGAGTAATCTAGAAAATAAGCACCCGGAGCTGCTCGTAGCATGCCATGCGTGGACATCTGCTCCCTGGTACCACGAAAGCAGGGAACCAGAGTGGAAGTGTGGCGACGTCCCACCAGCTCCGGCGGGCTCCGGGCACCTCGTCTGCCCCTCCTGTTGCCCATGGCGCTGAGGCAGGATGAATCCCATC